GTGTTAAGAAATCTTTAGTTTGAACCCTAAGAATATTTTTGAGGTGTTGGAAGAGGGTGTTTGAAAAGCTAAATTCAAATTACTTCACAAGTTAAATGAATTATTAAAATATTGGTATCCATTAAAAGGGATTTGAAAATTTTCTATTTATGAACGGGGGTTGCCACATGTTTGAAAATTAATATTCTACTTAATTCATCAGTTAATTAAAATATATATCGCAGTGTCCGGCGGAGGAGAGTTAACAATGATTAAGCTTGAAAATACTCTTGAAGAGGGCTGCCACCTGTTTGAAAGGTCTAACTCCAGTAACTAATTCAAAAAGTATATTAAATATAAAAATACCGTAGTCAAACGAAAGAATGTTAAGAAATCTGTAGTTTGAACATTTCGAATGTTTGAAAAGAGTTGCCAGGTGTTTAAAAAGTTACATTCAAATTATTCAGTAAGTTGGATGAATTATTAAAAGATGGGTATACATCGAAATGGGTTTGAATGGAATTTATTCCTGTCCTTTACTTAAGAGGGTTGTCATTTGTTCGAACAATCAAATTCGAATTATCTCATCAGTTTATTGAAATACATGGGTATCACAATGTCAGAAGATTTTAGTTTGAGAATAATTTTGGAAAGGAATTTAAAAAATGAGAGGTCAACTTGGAGACCTTAGCCTATAGATATATGATAAAGTTTTATTTTTTCAATTACGAACTTTTGTCATCGGTATAGGGTGATTTGAAATTCGATGAAAATAAAAACATTCACTATGCAAGACTGCTCTTCACTCAGAAACGGCTGCAAGGCTTTGATGAAATATGGCACTCGGATCGCTTATAACTCTGACTAAAATTTGGAATATTTTTTAAGTTTTTGAAATAAAATTTTGGGCGTTTTAACGCCATGCTGGTTCACTAGTATTTTTTAATTGATAAGGGATTTTAAATCGGTAAGGATTTAAAATCACGCAACCCTACCACCGCATGACCGTGACGTTGACGGTGGCTTTCTGTCTCTCTCTCTATCAACAGCAAATTTGATATGATTCTACGCACTTCTACGGCACCCTGCGTGCCCGCGCTCTGACACTTATTTTTTCTCTTCCAGCATTAAGTGTCCGGGTCCAACAGCAACATCTACAAAAAGTAAACAACCTGTTCTGATTTGTGGGTTATTTTTTTCTTAAAAAATGTCGGTTAGTTTGGGGCACTTTCAAAGTGGGGAGGGTTATTTTCGACCTCTGGTTTCACACATTCTTTAGAAGTGTGTAAATCCCCACAGACAACCCGGACACCAGGTAAGGTTCAGTAGCGACGTCTGTAACCAAATTCCTGGCAGTTGTGACATTGAACAGGGCATCTACGCTTATGAGGTTCTTCTACGGAGATTTTACAGTGTAGAAGATATCGCAATTGATATATTTGAGGCACTTCCCCTTTCTTCAGGTTATGATTGTCAGGTTCTAATTCTATTTTGAACATCGGTTGAGGGATGTTTTTATTTTTGATGTTGGAAACGTTGCGCACCTTAAAACCTGTTTCTTTACGAGCATTTTCTATCTCTTGGTCTCAGCGATCTTGAAAACATGTTGTAAGCCCTTAAAACATCAATTTCGTGTGCGCACGGATTGAAGGAAGAGGAATTTTAACCACTTTAGGCGTCCACGCGAGACCTCTAAATTATAATATTCTTGGACCAAATTTTCAGGGAATAGTTTTTAACCATAATGAAAGCTAAAAAGTCAACAGGTCAAAGAAGAAGCACTCTCATTTATTTCTGGTCAGTCTAATCCAATAAAACACCTCTTTGGGGTAAAATTTTCGAGTGACGAAAGCTGAACTAGAAACACAAAATTTATGATATCATCTTCGTGACGAAAATTCTACGCATTTTTTAACTGCCTTGGAAACGTAGGGAAAATCTTTTTTATTCATACGAGTTGTTGCATAAGTTCTGTTTTTTATTTTGTGTTTCTAGCAGTAAACGCAACGTTTCGAATAAATAAAAAAAGATTTTCAGTACGTTTCAAAGGCAGTTAAAAAATGCGTATAATTTTCGTCACGAAATTGATATCATAAATTTTGTGTTTCTAGTTCAGCTTTCGTCCCTCGAAAATTTTACCTCAAAGAGGTGTTTTATTTGATATCAATTATTTAGGAGTAGCAAATTTAAAATAGACCAAAATACAAACAATAATCCAAATGTTTTATTTTTCTCAAATAAATTGCTAAAAATATTATCTAAATCTAAATTATGTATTAAAATCGATGTGTCTATTGAAACACATAATTTTTCGAATACGAAATAAAGCGAAAAAGAATGATCATATCCTTTGTATTCGAAAAAATTAAAAATTAAAAATATAAGAAATGATAAAGACTTATCAACTTGGTACCAACTTTGGATACAATAAACAACTATATTCGTCTGATAGTCTCGTAGTTTATTTTTGTTAAGATTTCTACCGGGTATGGGGCGCACACATGTGCTCTTTTTAAGAAGTTTTACTTCTATCACGTGTACGATGTTGCACTCGTGCTACTAAGCTAATGCTTTTTCTCAAGTAGTTTTGCTCAGTGGCAATTTATACATATGTATGTAAGTAGTAGCGGCACATTGGGTGAACTAAATGCATTCATACATACATATTTATGTACAACTATAGGTAATATTGTACGCGTCTTCCCAGGTAGGTTAAGTGCTCTAAAATACACACAAATTGTGGTTTCCAAGACATTTACGAAGTGATTAGCACAGCTGCATCCTTCAACTTGTCAACTCGCGGAAAATTCCCCGATTTTCAGGGAATTTCGGTTTAAGTGGCATTCGGGGAATGGGCAATTTTTTTCGGGGAAATGGGTAAGTTATTTTTATATCTTAAAATAACCAAATTAGACGGATATGTTAATTTTTAACCATTTGACAGAGTGACATTTTTTCAATTTGAATCGCAATATCTCCACAACAAGAGTTTTCCCAGATATAAACTGTATTCCAGATGAAAGCTAAGGTTTTGATCTAGATTTGTGGAAACTTAGAATAAAATGGACTGACCAGTTTTTGAGAAAATGCCGGAAATGTATATTTTCAGCAGCCCGATTTTTAGTTTCCGGGCGATAACGTTATGATATATTTATATTTTATAAACACACGCTGTTTATTGGTAATAGCGTCCTGATCATGACTGACAAGATAAATAATTTAGGATTTGTTGTTAATTCTATGTTGAGCTGTTCTGGCCATGTGAATAATGTTGTAAGTAACGTGTATGCTGTTTTACGTAGATTAAGAATGTCAGCGTCGTTTACACACTTAGATACAAGAAGAAAGTTAGCTATTCAGCTTATAGTGCCGCAGATCACGTACTGTGGGCTAGTGTATAGCAAGTTTGACTCTATTTCGTTTCACAAAATTGATGTTGCGTTTAATAACGTTACACGTTACGTTTACGGCCTCAAAAGATATGACCACGTTTCTATGTGGAAAAACAAAATTCTAAGATGCAGCATTTTTGAATACCTAGCCGCTAGAAATTGTATATTTATGTATAAGCTTATAGAATTCAAAACTCCAAAATACCTTTTTGAAAAATTAAAATCAACAAGGTCTAGTAGAAATCAAAGTCTGATTGTCCCCAAATATTCCTACTTGTCTTCAGCTAGGCTGTTCTTCATTAATGCTGTAAGGCTCTGCAACTCAGTTCCTGAATCCGTAAAAGCAGCGCTGAATCGGAGTAACTTCAGAAAGGTATTGCATAATTACTTTAAATCTGCACAATGAATGTGGTTGCGATTAAATTGTTATCATTTCTCTGTCTCTGTCACTTCTACTATTAAACCAAATTTTGTATGTTCGTATTTATATTTATATGCCTGACCTTTTATTATATCTGGCCTTAAATTTTAAGTCTTAATTTTAATTTTAATTTTAATTAAAAATACAAATATCAATATTTTTTGTTGCCATTTGATATATTGTTAGTTTTAAGTTTACTTTGTACAAACATTGAATTTTACAAATTGTTGATGTATTATAAAAGACTCAAAGTCTTATAGATACAGCCTCATTTCTTAAATAAATATGAAATATGAAATATGAAAAAAAAAGATGGCGATAGATAGCTTATTTGAAGACCCTTCTACTGATATCCACATCAATGACATGGACTGAGTAGTGCCGCCTTTGTGGTCGTTTAAAAAATTGCCTTTTTTCGAATTTCAGGCAGCAGCCACGCTCACAAAGGCATACGAATCAAGACATCCCGGAACAAAACCTTCTCAGTTTTTTTTGTACTTTGATTCCTGAAAGTTTGAAAAAAATTAAATGAAGGTACGTACAGACGCCACATACATACCAAAGCATCTCGTAGTGGAGACACGAACCAAAACACATTTGCCTTCTTATCTTTCCAACTAATATATAAGGTATTGTTTGAAAGGTATTGGCCTATAGAATAACACTAAATATGTTGGGTGTATCCACATGCCCCCTTAAACCGCCACAAGCAAAAAACGTTTTTTGTTTCGCAACACTTTAGCCTAATTTTTAAGAATCCGGCTAATCGTTTATGAAGCTTGAATACATTTTCTGGACATACTCTACAAGACCTTTCCAACGATATCTCAAACATGTCGATTGGACGTCTGGATAAAAACTTCCAAATCTCGTGTATATATAAGCGAGTCATTTCAGCATGCTACTGTGTCTGCTTTCGTCACTCGCGCGCACTGCTGTTCGCTGTGATATATATACTATTATTATTATTAAAATCACAGTTTTCTCGAAGAGTTACCAAGATACGATTTTAATTTTGATCGGAGATGATTACCGAAACATTGACTTTTGATATTCTGCAACAATATTGGGTATGGTTTTCATGTGGGTTAAAAACTTTTTCTACACTACCGTAACATATGTGTACGCGCCAATATATTATTATGTGCATATATCTCCGATTATTTGAAAATAACAGTTGTAAAAATAATTACTTGTTTTATTTATAGCTAACGAGACGCTCTTGAGGACTTTGTTGAGTTACTGTTCACTTCATGGAGCCAGTGGGGGCGGTCTTGCCTCGGTGAGGATGGAATTGGTTCTTCTATTGCAAGAACTGCAACAAGAAAAGACTCAACAACAGCTTGTAAGTCCCCTTCCGTTTCCAACAACTTTGCCGTTATTAAGCGCTTGTGTGGCCGGAAATAAAACTGTCAGTGCGGATCCCATTAAGTATTTGCAGGTATTTTCAAATATTTGAATTTATTATCTTGAGCATATATTTACGAAGTTTTACTAAGTTAAAACCTGCCTTACTTGTTTTATTTTAGTCGCAAACAGTTGATATGCTTCAGACCATTATAAAAATCGCACCATTACCCGGTGTGACATCAAACTCCTTTTGTGAAATCTTTATTCTTCGCGATTTATCGATTGCACTATCTTCATGTATTTACCAATCATTATGTGATTCGGAAAGTTTCGTTGTTCATCACAATACAACATTGAATGGATTTCAAAGTCCGGGAATAGAAAATATCGCCAAACTTAATTCTCTGTTCGAATGTTCTCATTTAATTGGTAATACGAATGTTTACTGTAAGAGGAGAAAATTCTCGTCTGATGAACCAACAGTAATTTGTACTTCGCCGGCGAAATGGCCTGGCGTTACGAACCTAAGAGCATTGTTAGCACGAGAGAAAGATGAAGACATTCCAAAATTAAATGTATTGCTACTTGAATCTTTTGTTGCAACGTATATGTCGCTGTTAATTTATGCAATGGCCACTTGTGATTGCCGTTTGTTGTACAGACTTGTTGGTCAAAAATTTGCTACCGAAACTTGGTCAACAATATTTGGAGGCGGAATGAAGAAATTATTACGAAAAGCAACTTTGCGTAACGAAACTATGAATTCAAATCAATCACAGATAAACTCTTCAGCAGAAAGACCAGATGATAGCGGGGTCTGGAATACAGTGACTTCAATTACGAAACAACGTGTTAAACTTAATATGAAACTTCTGGGTACATTTAGCCAAAATAATACATCATCAAACATGAAGGAAGATAAGCCCACTTATCGGGAACAGTTCGTGCCACCAGAAATGTCGATGCTGTCATATTTTCTTCTGAAACCTTCTAATAATGGTAAATATGTTAAAATAATCTTTTCCACAAACTATAACAAAATTTTACTCCAAATTTCGCTGAAAGGCAAATAAGAGATCTGTGGATACTTTTTAGTTGATAATTTCAAAAATTACAAATCTTGAATTGAGTCACTTTTGAAGAGCGTGAATGATATAGTCTTATGCTATTTCGGACGCCTGTTGTGGTAAAATTCGTCCTTTTATTCCTTTTTGTACAGAATGTATTGAAGATTTTTATAATGTTAGGAAATTTGGGAAACGGGAAAAAATTATTACTATACCCATTTTGTACTATGTATTCATAACCTACATACATACGTATGTGCAAAATATCGCTTTCATATGAGCTGTTATTTTTGAATGACTTATAGTTGAGAAATTAAATATACTGATGCTTTGGCTTGATGCATTTATGAACACACCCATGAAAATCCTCGGCTATCACCTGTTAATCAACATGAAAGCTACTTTTCATATAAACAACAATATTCTATTAAGGTTTGACTATAAGCTAAGAATTAGACAAAATACAATTTGATACCCAGCTCACGACCAGTGTTGCCACTTGAGCTATATTTAGTTACCAAATTAGGTATCCTACCAAATCAGTTTCCAAACTACCATTTTTTTTTCATCATTAAGACGAGATTTTATTAAATTTATGAGTTTTTAAGCTGCACAAATTAAAATACCAAATAATATTAGGGGTCTTCATACCGAGCTTGATAATTTGTATGATAGTCGGTAAACTGATCAGCTGTTCGATGTTTATTAAATTTATAATCCATCGCTGCCGAAAGGCATAACACAAAATTAATTTAATTTTCTGTTACAATAATTTTTTTTTTATAGGAAATAAGCTACGAACCAACTGCTGATAGACATAGTTTACCAGACTAACAAAAGTAAGCTTAAAGGACTTTCACAGTTGATAAAAGTAACGAGTACCAACTAACAGTTTACTAAAAATACCGAAATATTATTTACACTTCTGCGGTTTGCTAGCCATTCATATAAACCTTTAAGGATAATCAAAAAAAGCCTTTAATTAACGTCTTGCTACGATAATCCTTGAATACTTGAGGGATTTCCCTTCGGTTCTTATCGCTGCATTCTTAAATGAACGCTCAAGATTTCCAAATTGCAGTACAATTAACATTGTTGTACAACAAACACTTCGCAATACTCGCTAATGCAATAACAACATTTTACAATACTCGTTAAAGAAATTACAACGCTTTACAAAAACTTGCTAACACAATTGATCTCTGTTTCACACTGAACTTGTAGCTTGCCGATTTGCAACTAAACTTATTGTGCGCTGTAGCCACACATTTATATACTCGCACTGCTTCGCATTCATGGCTCGCTGTTCGCACTATTCTCCCACTTGCCGTTTCTTGCTCTCAGATATTCTACCATTTTCTTGTTCGCTTCGCGTTGCCGCAGTATTCGCCACACTGCCCTCCATCTAAGTCTGATCGTCCCTATCAGACACACTAGCTGTTCCAAACGCCGCAAACCTTTCCAAGTTTACCACTCTAATGTCGCTAGTACGTGGGGCGTAGCACCCACAAAGTTCTAAAAAGATTTAGCTCACCCACGTACCAGCAATGCCCCGCTGGATGAACAAAAGAACTGGAACTCTGCTTGCGCCTGGGCTTCGGGCACACTCACACACTGCGTCTGCTGGATGCTGTTAATTTATTTACACGGCCGCGCTAATAAAATAATTGCAAAGTTTAATAACACACACGTACACTACCTTTAAATAGATTTACTTTTTATTTAATTTAATTTGAGTTTATAATTTTTCGGCGAACCGGTAAATTTAAAATTCGAGTAGCGAATGACATGCTTTCTTGAAGCCAGCCTACGATACACCTTCTAGAAACGAATGTGGATCGTAAGCTCGCCAGTGTTGACAACACACGCGATGTAATTTTATTATTTTGGGCAACATAAGTGTTGCCATATAAGATGTTACCACATCGCGTGTGGTGCCATTACACCAACCGCCTATGGGAAAAGAAGCTTCACAAGGTGATCAGACTTGTAAAATCGTCTTTCCAAATAGTATGTCAAATTGCTTTGGAGGAACGAAAATGTTATATTAATTTTCTTTCCCCCCTTTTATTCGTTCGTCCATAGCAATTTGGAAATGCATACTCCATGACATACTAACTAAATATACATTATATAAAATTACTTAATCGTAATTAGTATTAGGCCAAACTAATTTGAAGTTGAAAAAAAAAAAATTAAATTAGTCTTATATTGAATAAATTTTTTTTTTGTTTTCAGAAATATTTAACTATACATTTTAATGCTTGATTTGAAAGTATTTTATAGTACAATATTTGTTCATAAAAAATTTTGTAGTCTTAAGTAACATTTTCTTTTGTAGTTTAAAGTATTGTAATTTAGTTATTACAATTTTGTTTCTTATAAATAAACGTAAGTACATTTAAAGCATTTTTCTCTAATATTTATAATATTGCGTTTAAATAAATTAAAGAATTGTGTGCATCTGGCGAACAATTTCTATTTAGTGAATATTTCATTTTACACATTTTTTTTGTTTGTTTGCTTGACTTGAAAAATTCATATACATGTTTTTGTTATATGTTGAAATAATAGTTGGTTGAGATGAAAGTTTCAAATAACTTTTTGAACTCTATTTTTGTGGATTGTTTTTACTTTATCTTTTTCTTTATCGAAAATAGTAATATTTATACCATCTACTTTAGTTACAACGAGAGGATCCTGATATATATTTTCATGTTTAATTCTGGGTTCTTTTTGTACTAGAACGAGATCGTTTTCTTTAATATGTACTGGACGAGAGTGTCTATCATATAAATCCTTGTTGCGGATTTTATGTTTGTTAATTAATTCTTTGGCTATTGCATGTGATTTTTGCATCCGGTACTTAACCTCTTTTGCATAATTCTCAACATTATAAATGGGATACATTTTTTCCTTTTTCAATTCTTGCGGTAAAGTCGGTGAATTTGGAGTAGTGTTATGCAAAAAGGTGAAATACTTAAGATAAGTGTCCCAGTCTGAAATAGTCTCATTTAGCTATGCACGTAAGTATTCATTGCAAACGCGATGATTTCCCTCAATTGTGCCTACTGTTTTGTGATGGTGTGCTGTCGAAAAGTTATGATCAATCTTTAAGAGTTTTGTTAGTTCTGAAAATATTTCATTTTTATATTCAGTTCCTAAATCTGATCTGATTGAATTCATTATGCCGTATACTAGTATGTGACTTTCAAAAATAGCAGAGGCGATCATTTCGGCGCTTTTATCTGGAACAGCAACGGTTACCAGATACTTTGTCAGATCACAAATCATAGTAACAGCGAACTTGTTACCGCTTGTTGATTCAGGCAAAGGCCCTATTGTATCAATTATCACTATTTCAAAAGGTTTGTTAGGTGTTGGCGTTAAAACAAGGTTTTCTTTTGTCTTTGGTTTTGGCTCGTTTAGTAAGCATTTCTCGCAATTCTTGACAAATTTTGATATATCGCGGATCATGTTTTTCCAAAAATATTTTGTACGGATTTTTGCATATAAAATCTTTTGAGTCCACAATGTCCTCCACTTATTGGACCGTTATGGTATATTGTCATAAGTTGGTGTCTCGTTTCGTCGTCGGTCACAGTTTCGACTGAATCTGTCAATATAATTTGTAAATTCTTTAAAATTTTATTTGCGCGGTCTTTTAAGTTTGTAGTTGTAAAATATTTGAAAAATAAATAAAACTAAATCATAAATTAGGCCATTCTAATATTAATATTACGAATGTTGGCTTCGACTTCAAGTCGCGAAAGTAACTCGTCGAAATTCGTTTTTTCGTTAACAATCGTAAAATTAGGTAACTCGTGTTTTTTGTTTTTTAAATGTGCACAAACTTGAAAATTTGAAATTTCATTATTTTTATCATATATTATATTTGTTTTCACCCGGGGTATTTTATTTGAGAAATCATATGAAAATTTGTCCTAAACCTGTAATTTAATTTTGTCATTGCATTCACTATCGTACTTTAATTGTGTTTTATTCGTCATTGATCTTGTTTTTACCGCTAGTACTTGTTTAGTTGAGTCTTTTATTTCGTCCATTGTAATCCGTGACAATGCGTCCGCTCCTACATTCGATTTTCCTTTTATATATTCAATTGTAAAGTCGTATTCTGACAGTTCTAAGCGTATTCTAGCAAGCTTTGACGATGGGTCCTTCATGTTAAAGAGATAAACTAAGGGCCGATGGTCAGATTTCACCGTAAAGTGAGTGCCGTAAACATACGGTCGAAACTGCTTGATCGCAAAATATAAAGCTAAAAGTTCAAGTTCGATTATCGGTTTATTCTGTTCTGCTTTATTGAAAGATTTTGACGCGAAACATATCGGCAAATCATTTCCGCCATTGTTTTGGCTTAATATAGCACCGCACCCAACTTTCGAGGCATCGACAGTAATAATAATTTGTTTTGTGAAGTCTGGGTATTGTAGCAATTTTGGGGAAATTAACGCTGATTTTAACGATTCAAAAGCTTTATCGCATGCGCTGTCCCAAGTAAACTCAACTTTTTTCCTGCCTAATTTATTTAAAGGCGCTGCCAGAGATGCAAAATTTGGTATAAACCGCCTGTAATAATTAGCTAACGCGACGAAACGTCGAACCGCATCTTTATCAGTCGGCTTTGTATATTTTTTAACAGCGTTTATTTTGGTGTCGTCTGGCAACAGACCTTTGGCTGAACATTTATGGCCTAGGAATGTAACTTCCGGCCGAAGAAAATTGCATTTATTAGGGTTGAATTTTACGTTGAAGTTTCGACAAGTGTCAAAAACTTTCGCTAAATTTTTAATGTGATGGGCTTCACTACACCCAATAACGATTATATCGCCAACGTAAAGGAATGCCACATTAGGCGGAATACCGGAAAAAGCAATTGTCATCATACGCGAAAATGAATTTGGTGCTACA